TATCCTGACGGTATAAATTAGAATTCAGACGCACAGATTATATTAGGGCTGTCTGCCATGCGGAACTGCTGAGGGGTGCACAGAATATTTTAAGGATACAAAGAGGAGAACAGAGAGAGAGGGAGAGAGAGAGAGAGATAATATGTAGAAAGGCAAACAATATGTAAATGTATACAAAGCAGAAAGATAACATTTGTGTCTCATGGTGAAAGTATTTACTCAGGCACTGTATAAAGAAACAATAGACAAGGCAATTAACACCAACAATCAAGTGTGTGATTAAATGAAACAACAAATGCCTGGATACAAGTTTGACTGCAAGTTTAACCAGCGTTGCTTGTATACACTTGGGCTGTGATCAGTAATCGAGCCTGTGACATAACACTGTCCAGGAAATCTCCACTCATTCCTCCCCGCCGCTTTCCTGCTGTATCACTACCTGGCCACTTCACATGCAAATGCAAACTAAACCTCTTCTGCCAGTCAGCCTCAGACACCCCCCACAGACACACTTGTGTCTCTCAGTCTCTCTGTTGCAGTCTGTGCGTCTCTCTCTGTGCTACTGTCAGTGCTAGCCACACACTGCCTCCTCGTGGGCACAGTGCCCAGACTGGCACCGAGCCAGACCTGCTCTGCCACACTGGACTGGCAAAACGCTCCCTTTCTCTCCACACTCCAGATTCCCCCGCACAGCCTTTCATCAGAACGCCTGTGGCCCTCTCCTCCTCCTTTCTCCGGCTTCATTCTGCACCACAGCTGAGATCCACACTTTGAAAGTATGCCCTCCAACCAGCCAAAGAAAAACAATGCTACCACTACAACTGCTGGGGAACAAATAAAGCACTCACACATTTGAATGCTTGGTTATTATGCAATCACACTGAAGGCAAAACCAAGTTATCTATAAACAATGTAACATCAAGGCACCGTACCAGGTATCAGGTGCATAGTACGGGAGTGTGAACAAGCACTGTAAGCCCTGAGATGTATTCAATTTTGTACATTTTTATGAATCAACACAAAAAGATGGAATTTGAGCCTCCTTGTTGGCAGTCGCTACAATGACAGATATGACAATACAATATGGGACTGCCACCACACTCAAAGTTGTTCTTGATAGAAGATAGGGTATGATATGATCTGTACTGCATCCCACTGCCAGGAGACAGAAACTCTATATAGAGGCTGCACTATAATACAGAATACAAAAAGACCCCCACCACAGTAAATATCAGTAGTAGTAGTCTATATATAACACATTTGCACACTACCATCCAGTAGTACACTATTCAAAATTACAGAAAGAAACAAAAGCAAACATAACGGCCATCTAAATTAAATTAATGCACTTCTACAAAACGGGGTGTAAATTACAAAACTAGCAAATGAAGATAGTAATAGCAAGATGGCTTAAAACTCAAATAATCAATGACACATGTACAAACACTTATATTTTGCATATTCTTTATTGTAGCCTCCCTGACTTTGCTATATAGTTGTTGTAGTTCCAAATCTCCTATTTCCTTTTCCTGCTAACTATTTCTAAACTCATCAAGCTAGGATGAAATTCTGAGATTTATGGGGTGTAGTGGGCACAAAATGAAAATCATGTAGTGTATCTTTAAGAATTAAATTTTTTTATTGTCTGTTATGCAAGTGTCCTACTGAGGCAGCCTCACAGAGGGAGACTTGTTCACCGTGCTGCTCCCAGCACAGAATCCATTTAAATCCTACTGTTTCACAGGGTTAGATCTACTTCCCTCTCTGAGTATAATGTCAATTTCAGCAGTGTGTGTGTGTGTATTTGCGTTTGGATTTCGGAGACTCCTATCATGTTTTTTGCAGTACTACTGGGGGGCAGTATGGAGAGGCAGACAGAAGGTGGTAACCAACCTATGCTGTTGATGGCTGGTTGCCTGGCTTACTTTCGGCTATTACAGAGGTATTCTAGGTACGAACAATAGCCCAATGAGCCACAGTGTCCGATCACCTGATCAGCTGTTAACACTGCTATCAGTGCTGCATCTAACTATTTAAAATTGTCTTATTTGTAATGCAGCAAATGTCACATACACAACCAAAACTTAACCCAACTGGCCTTACCAAGGCTTATACCCCTAAATAACAAGCAGATTTTTAACAGTCATAGCACGTAAAACAACCAGTCTGCCTCAGATGTATAATTTTGTTTCCCCGGTGGGTAAAACGCCTTGGAGGTGAGTGCATACGCAGCAGTCATGTTTGTTAAGATACATGGTTAGACCCGGCCTTTTTTCTCAAGCACCGGAAAAAACAGTAAATCACCGGCAAAGAAAATAAATACTTATTACATTCTGCACACTGCATATATTCACCTCCTTAACATATTGCACAGGCACAGTCCAAATGTGCAGCGCTGCACACAGGCAAAAACATGCCATGAAAAATGACAGCAGGGAGGGGTAACTGCGGACCTGGAATATAATGGTGCGGTGGAGCGGAGGAGAAATAATCATACCTAGTGGTGGGGGATGAGGGGAGATGGGAGGAGCAAGAGGAAGATGAGTCTGTGCCCTGTAGCAGGGAAATGGAGGTCCACTGCTCTTGCTGCCTGATTCCCCAATAATGCTGCACAAGAGCTCCCTTCAGCAAGGGGCAACAGCAGACAGCATCCATACTGTAGAAATACATTCCCCTGACACTCCACAGCCACAGGGGACACATACAGATGCTGCAATATTGGACTATGTATAGCAGCCACTGCGGTGCTAGTTACAATAATACACAAAAAAACACAGTTATTAAAAACAAAGCAAATTATCCGGCAAATGACACCGATATTCCAGCTGGCTTCTGTCCTTCACAGAATTCTGATTAGAGCTAAAATCAGCATGCAGTTCCCTCTGTGGCCGTTAGGTGTCTCTCTTCCACTTCGCATGGCTGAAGCTCGCTCTCTCACCAAGTGGAGCTCCTCTGCTCCTGAACTTCCATCTACACATAATATATACACCATCATTTGAAAATGGCAGCTTTTTGAAAATTCACCTTGATTATCAGACATTAAAAGTGACTTCTCCAGAGCTGAGTGTCTGGCTAGGGGGATGGCTGCAGACGGCAGAACAATGCAGCAGGCTTGATATTAATGCCTGGCTGGGGTGTGCAGGGAGGAGAGAGAAGCCAGCCCTTTGTTCTCTCCTACAGCCAATTATTTTTTACGTGTGCCTCTTTTCACAACAACAAGAGAGAATTTAATTTTAATGCACTCTCTGGAAAAAAGGGAAAAAACATCTACAATATTCTTAAACAGAGATAGGGACTAGCATCAGTGGTTAAGTATATATGCACACATATCTGTATGAGGCATAGACAGATGACAGGGGCAACAAGAATGACATCAACCCAAACACACACAGCAGCATGAATCCTCTCATGCAAAATTCAAAAACACATTCTGTCTCACTCCAAACCAAAGCACAATTGTAAGCAGCCCTACCTTTATGAAAGAAAGACCAAAATGAGGAGAGACACACCAAAATAAAACCACGGTTATTTCATTATACAACATTATGGTGCAGTGGTGGGGTGCATATTAACATGTGCATACCCAGGACACGATGATAAGAAAGCACACCCTGTAAAATAGCAAGCATTCCTGATCAAATGGCATGAAAAATAAAAACCCAGGATTGCTGTTGGTAGGTATGTGGCCAAATATTTTTCTAATTGGAAGGGCACTTTATCTTGCTGTCAGAGAAGCAGTAAAAAGCGGTGCTGTTCCCAGAAGGAGAGGAGCACAGCTTGCTGGCCTTTTATTAGTGTTGGAGCTCTGATATATGCGTCTGCACTAGGCTTTCATCAGGAACCAGCACCATAAACACACATACACACAAAAGAACTGTTACAAACTAGCCACACTGAAACCATTTCAGCTGCTGTACTTTCTAAGCATGCAATCAGCATACACCCAACAGAAAATTACAGCCAAAAAGTTTTCTGCAACAAACTGATGATTCTTTAGGTTTACAGGTTAACACAGTGATAACACATCATTTGCAAAACTACACAAGAGAGCATTCAAATACAGAAACAACAGAGCAGTGTACAGAGCAAATAAATGCCTCAGTACAACTACAGTGTAAAATGGTACTGGAACAACCTGGCAGTGTAAAACTATTCACTATGTCACTAGAGAACAAGAAAGCACAAAATACAGCATGCACACACACACACCCTACAGCTCAGGATCTTACATATGCAGTTCATGCAAAGATTGTTTTTTTGCTCTCCAAACTGACTCATGCAGACAGACACACAGGCACGGACAAAGACAGTCAGACTGACACGTGCACACACACGCACACGCGCGCACACACACATACACACAGGCTAAATTAAATTTCAGTCCTTGGGCAGACAACTAAACTGCTTGTGTGTGGGACCTACTCTGCAGCACAGCAAAACCAATCCTCTGTAGATGGTGAAATTAAAGGGCAGAATCCAGCCTGTTTATGGTCCTCACTCTCTTCTCCTCTCAATCAAATGTTTTATTAGCAATCATTTGGTCCTAAAAGTCATGTTCTTGGTAGTCTGCCAGTGTGATGACAACAGCCGCTGGACAGACACCACCACTCCAGCACATACCACTCCCAATTATTTACACCTGGAACTACGGGTCTGCAAGAAGCTTTAATTGACCACAAGATAGCCATGCTTAGAAGGGGGCATGCTTAACTATACCTTATGCTTCCACCATGTCCATGCTTTCATATATACTGTATCTTCAATAATCCTCTAAGTTGGTTGTATACGGAATCACATGACTGAGTCATAAGTAGCAGCTGACTATACAGAACTTGTTTACCAGTTTTTACAAAAGCTCAGCAGGCCAGAGGGTGTCCGGAACTCGCTGAGCAAAGAGTAAATATAAAAGCAACATTGTGATCCTACAAAGGGAATAATAATGTGAACAAAATGCAATAATAACACGAGACTTTATTGATCTGCTATGGCAAATGCCCTACCTTGTAAAATCACAGTACGATTCTGTTGGCTGTGGTTGGGAGCACTGTACCCGCTGAATAAGGCAGCCATGTTGGACAACTCTGTATGTAGCAGCATGATCTTCGCTTCAGTCTGGAGTGAGGAAAAGAAAGCAGATCAATGAGTAAGATGTTTAGTGTCTTGCTACAACAACATTCCTTTATATTTCATAATTCATCTTCTTACACTAGGCATTTGGGGATTCACTGTACATTGCATTATACCATAATGACTGTTTATGTGACAAATACACTGAATTTGAAGAGTCAATGCTGATTTTCATTTAAATTGGTGATCATGTGATTTAAAATAACAAAGCAAAAACCGATAGTGATTGTATTTACTATGGAAAAACATCTTGGTGGATGTTTCTGCTGTAAATATGTTAATGTTCATGCCTATGGGTGCATGCTCACATGTGCTGGCCCCTTCAATCTCTCTGTATTGTATCACTGAGGCATCTCTTTCGACCCTCCAACCCCCACCCTGCTCTGCTCTCCTCTCCTCTCCTCTGGTGTCTGGAAGCAGTAATCTGTTCCTGAGCCAGCGCTGCTGGGATTAGGCAGCGACTGGAGATAGGATATATGAGTCATTAAAGCAGAGAGAACAGTGTTGCAGAAGGAGAGAGACAAAGTCAACAAAGGTGACAAGGAGACAGAGGAGACAAATACCAGAAACCCACATGTATCCACATGCACACACAAACTTACATACTCATGTGAACATGAAAAAACAAAAACAAAACCTATCCTATATGTAAAATTATACACACATCTGCCTGAGCCTAAACCTCTGAATAAAAATAATGTAGTGTTGCTGTAATGAGTGTCTGAGAAAGAGGCAATGCATTAAACCTAAGGCACTAATGCAAGACAATGTATATACACTATGTAGACAGACAGCATTTGTATGAACTGAATATTTTATGTTAGTGCTGGTGCTTGTTAGCAATGCTGCAGATATCCCTTTCTTTCACTATGTAATTAATCAATCCATCCATTGTAGTTTTGAATTACTTTAGTAGCATACAAATTAGCTGGTGAATAGAAATTACATGCTAATAATTTCAGGTATTCATTCGAGGTACCTACATAGAATACTTCATTTTGAGTAAGTGATTCATGTCCAGATATGCAACAACTCAGTTAAAGTAAATCTCACTGACAAGAATCTTATAATTTTATTATGATACTTCACAATACACAGAAATATTTTGGATGTCAGTTTGATTTTTGACTTAAATGATTACTTAAATAATAAAATCCTTACATTACTTCTTATCTTTTAAGAAAAGCATTACCTGTGACTGTGTGAACCCACATGGTATCAGGCCAAGCAGTGGTTGTATCACCCTGTTCCTGGTGTCTGGTGTCCTGTGTCCTGTATTCTGGTACTGTATAACCGAGGTAGGTCTTTGCCCCAGCTGAGCCTCCAGATCTTTACAGATCTTTCTGTAGCCAGTCTGCCCCATGCTGCACTCTGCACAGAGCATTTCCTACAAAGATACAAACGTCTGTCAGTGAAATAAGCAGCTACAGGCAGGAGCTGGTTAGCTTAACCTGGCATAAGGACTGTAAAGAGGGGAAACAAATATTTTGTGATCTGTCCAAAGGTAAAAATATCTTCCTAGCAGCATCTCTAAAACTCCCTAATTAACACTGTAAAACTGAAGAGTCCCGAAGAGATCTCCAAACAGAAAGGTAGGAGTTATTGTACTTTTAGTTATTGTGTCTGTGAGGAGGAGACCAGTGGTGAGTGGAGGTCCATCTCCAGTTCTGGAAATCCATGCAAATAATGTCAGTGTGCCTCCCACAATCCATAGTCATTCTTAGCACTATACATTCCTATGTAAGGCCCTGACCCATATCAATGTGTGTAACTGAGTGCTTTTAGCGTGGTCCATTTTATTGCATTCTACTGTTTGTCAATAGAGATTGCATGGCATGCACCTAAAGTATTAGCAATAGCTGAGGCAGCTGAACCCACTAATTAGACGGGGGTGTCCACAAATACACATATGGTGTATTTTGCACATATCGAGCAAAGTGTCGCTAATTGCTTTTTTCCACTTGACAGCTTTTAGAAGAAGTGTGAAAAGTCTGGAAACGTGTGAAATTGATGCCTGCCACCAATGAACCCACAGTCAGTCGAAACTTTTTCATTAGCACTCCACCTACAGAGATAATGTAACTCCTAAAGTGAAGATATGACTTTCACATACCTCTTGCAGGCACCTCTGCAAGGTCCTCATGCAAAGGTTTGGCACACTTGTATGGCTGAGGCTGGCCAAGAATCAGTTCATGAAAAGGTTTCATTGACTGATTGATCTGGTCTGAACATCAGTGTTGTTAACAAAGGCCTCCTGTTTAAAACAACTTGGCCATTTACGGTTGAGCAATTTTAAGATTGAGACTCTGAAGTATACTTAACAAATTAGCATAAAAAACAAAAAGTAAAGCACATTTCTCTGTAATTTAATAAAATTTAGTTTTAGTTTAGTTTTGTAGTTCACATGCTAGTCCATTTTTCAGGTTTTTTTGCATCTACAATGCATTTTTGACAATACTTTCCATTTGTTTCCTCATTTTCACTAACAAAACTAACACTGTTCCTCTCTAGTTACACAAACTGTTGTGTCCATGGGAAGACCTGGCTGAGAGGGCGCTGCAATCTTGCTTTGTGTATGTTACTGCCTTAGCACGCATGGTTGAAATGTTTATCAATAAAACTGACAATATACATTAGCATTTATTTTTACTCAACAATACATTAAGTGGGCAACTTCTTTTTGAGTTTTAGGGCAGATACTTCCATTAGGACATAAAATAGCCCACGATGATTAAGCCTGGATATGTAAGGGATAAAAACATAGCTATAAAACAACTACAGCACATAATGTTATTACTCATAGGAACATACATTGCAGATCTGTATGCGCAGTGGCAACTGTTGATCACCTTAACATGTAAGAGTGGATGCAGTGGATCAAAGTCCCCTTTTGGGTACGATTGCTTTTACCCCCCAAATATGTACATACAGTCTGCGTAGCTCTGTGAATGTAGGCTGGGCATTTGTGGGTGGGTGTTGGTCAGAATGTATGGTAATTAATTGTTCAAGCTAGGCTGACCTGAGCTCTCCACTCCAGCTTACATTCCATTAGTGTGTCATTCTCTGCCTCCATCTGACGCCCTTTAACTGCAGCTGAGGAAGACATGACAGAGAGAAAAAGATAGAGATGACAGTCTACCATGGCACATTAACATCCATTTGACATGTTTATCATCCACTTTATGTGACTGAAAGCATTACATGTTTAAGTAATTAATAAAACAATTTTAATAACAATTCTTATTCATACGGCTGTGCTATCTCATTTGTTAAAAATTTTATTTAACTTGGAAGTAAAATTTAGATAGTTGGGATGCTCCAGTCAAATGGGCACCAATTTTAGTTGGCTTAAATTTATTGAGCGGTCTTAACAATTGATGATCAGAAAAATAATGACAAATCGGAAACAGAGATGCAGAGGCAGACAGTATCTTCAGGCTTTAAGAGCCCAGCAGATGGTATGGGCCTGTAACAACATATTATAAAACTAATGACGCTAAAAGGTTCAATGATTTTATATAAATCAAAACAGGCATTTGGAAGACTAATTCTGTGATGTATCAGAACAGAAATTTCCATAATAAATTATAGTTACAGTTATTCCAACAGAAAAAACTAAATGTCGAGCCTAATGCCGCACCTTTACTGTGGCCTACGCAGCTACAGAATTGGCCTTAGCCATTCTATCATTAGGTTGGTCATAGACTACAAGTGCACATCATCAGTGGTTGTGTGATTTACAGTACTGAAATATAGGACAAGCTGCCACTGAGGGAAACAGTTTGACAAGCAACAATCATGACTTGTGTAGAAGCATTCAAAAGGACAAAAACTGACTGGTTCACCTAGCGTATGTATGTGAATGGGTGGCCACAATTTTCAACCAAAATGCTGAAAAACTGAAACGCCACAGAAGAATTTTACAGTTTTTACATTTACAATTTTACAGACTGTTAGTTCCAGCATTACTACATGGGAGTAAACATGATTTCTAACATTATAATCCCTTTACAAAACAAACAAGACTTCTGAGGATGTTCCTTAAATGTTTTATGGACGATTTGTTCCTTGGTGCTGCTAATGCCTTACCACTGCAGAGTCAAAGAAGAGGATCATCTCATGGGTGCATCTCTGCTGCCAAACAGTGTGAAAAAATGAAACGAGACAGCTCCGTAACAGTGAATTTTAACTCACATGAGCTAAATATTGAAGGAGACGCTGTGTTAAAGGTAACCCTGTAGAGTTTTTATTATAAACAAACATGTCTTCTTTAATATTTCACATTTACCACCAACACATATGTATCCTTGAAGCCTAACAAATGTGTTCAACATATTTCCAACCAACCCCACCAACTCTTACAGGCCTCTGCAGTCTGCGTAGTGTTTATCATATAATTTCCATGCTTATTTGGTGTATAAGTTACAAAATAAGGGGAACCACTTATTGGAACATTACTCCACATTGCCATAGACATAATTTGAAACTGACTGAAATGAAGTCCAGAAACAATTTACAGTCAGCAGCTCCTGGAGAGTTTCAGTGAGTATCAGAGTGAGGTAAAAGGGAGTGAAAATGGTGGGGGATCATTACGGTCAGTGGCGCCTGGAAGAGCGGTAGGGAAACAGAGAAAATAAGCTTAGATTCACAGAGTAGCTAAGGCAGCACTGTCAATACTCCAGTCAACAATACTGAGAGAGTGCGACTGAGATGACACGTAACGCTCTGATTGAACACCACAAGCAGAGTCTGCCCAGAGGCTTAGCAACAGGTGACACAGACACCATCAATCAACACAGTCAGTGATTCAGATTGGTCAGTGTTTTTTTTCCTCGAGGGAAGGTAGCAAGCAGCTTTTTTCTTTGAATGCAAGTCGAAACTCCCAGGCATCAATCATCAGAATCCTGGGTTCGTTTTGCCTGTCATTGTGACAAAGTGCCTGTTTTTCATTCAGAACATGTTTGTCTGTTTGTGCAGTGGACATACATACTTGCCTACCTGACTATGATGTGAAGTTTCTTCTCTCTGTGCAACATTTGAGTACTTAAATATATCAAAAATTGAAGCAAATATTATGTTTGCATCTGTCTCTTAGTCCTACAAATATAACATCTTACTGTGACACCACTAGCTGCATTAGTCCAGGTCAGATGGCACCGGCAAAACCACATTCAATGAATATGATGGGATGTAAATATTTAAATGTGTTCCTCAAAATGCCATTCTGCTCAAAAGGGATGGGCACATGAAGCATGATGAGTCTCAGGCCTGTTGGAAATCCCTGGGCCTAGAAGTGAGCACTATACCTGACTCTGGAGCTCCTGGGCCTGCTGAGTCTTGCTCTGAAGCTGCTTTTGGTATTGCTGCATGTGACTCTGTTCCTCCGGAGATCCAGACGGCTCTTGCACGATTCAGGCAGCGACTGAGAGATCCTTGCTCCTGGATGTCCAGCTACTGAACCACAAAAGGAGGCACGGCAGCGATAGGAGAAGAAAAATCAATCCAGTACACAGAGCCCATCCTCTCTGCGCAGCCAACCTGCTCAGTCTGTAGCTGAGGCTAAGCTGCACCATGGTTCCCCATCCTCCTGAGCAGATACTCAGAATTAAAGCCAGCCGCAGTCCTGTTCCATCAAGGGCAGGCCTAATATCTGCCTTTATCTGCTAATTCTGTGTCAGGAGGAGTGAAGAAAATAAAGCAGAATTTTTGAAATTTTGAAACCAAACTTCAAAACAAATGTTTCACATTTACACAGTGAAAAAACAAACAATAAACTTATTGATGGCTCGGATGCAGTCTTTATTCTAAAAAAACACCAGTTGATCAGTAACTCTTTATAAAGTAGAATATTCAACAAGGAACAAATTAAAATTGATATCTTTAAAAAATCAGCAAGACTTTCAAGTTCGACTAGAGTTTCATAGTAATTGTTAATAAAAACAATAAATCACATTAAAAATTATCTTAATTTAGTTATTTATAACTAATACTATAGGTTATCAATCAATAAAAATTAAACACTAAAAATGACAAAGAAAAAGTGACATCAAAAGACAACACAAAAGTGTTACATTATGTAATACACAATGCTCCAAAAGTTAAATATTATTGTTTTGCAGAAAAACACAGGCAATACTGAAGTAGTGCAGCTACTTAAAATAACCAGCTATATAGCAATGATATCTATCTAACGGTGAGAGAAACTATTTTTATAAAGCTGGCAACAAACGCGGCAACAATAATAAGCAGGTCACTAATTAATACTACCTTGCTGTGCTAAATCACGAGAGGGGAAGGGATGGAGGGGGAGAGAGAGAGGGAGCCAAATACAGTGAGAGAGAGAGGAAGAGGAGGGAGCTTGGCAGAAAGGAAGGGATGACAGTAAGAGGAAGACAAACAGACCTAGCTCCTGGTTCAGTTGGACAGAGGTTTTAATCCAGTGTGCCTGATGCTGCTGCAGTGTCGTCGTTGCGAGGGAATCATCACAAAACAAGATGGAGACCCAGACAGGAACCAGGACAAAACATTATTTAACCATGGGCTGGCAAATACTCCATGAAATTAACAATAAAACAAGAATAAAAAAGGACATTTATTTCCATTCCTGCCCTGTTCAAAGCATTGTGTCTTCTCCATGTCCATTTTTGCTTCTCGGAGTAAGTCAAACAAAAGAGCCTGGCGGATATTCCTGAATTAAAAATACAGATGATGTAGAAATCCATTTCACGGAATCGCTTAAAACGTGTCTCATCCGTTAGCACTCTCTTTCTGTATGCGATCCACACCGATAACACTGGTCTTGCTTTCTTTCCCTCACAATCGCTCCCTCTCTCTCTATTCTCCCCTCCTAAACTGATCAATACTTCATTTAAATCATGACATTAGCACACTACTACTGGAAAAAGAGGGGGAGAACAAATACAAATGAGCTTCTTATGTTAAGTGACATGGTAACTAATGTTTAATGTCCGAGGATTGTGAGATTTCTTCCAAATATAATGTGAAAAACAAAGACAGAAATATACGCAAGTGTGCGGGGGCTGTACTGCTGTTTTGATTTGAGCTCCTGAGCCTCACGCTGATCAATACACATTTAAATCCAGGCTGAGGAGAGTGATCACAATATCTCATCTCATCAGAAATAGGCAAACATGCTATCCCAATTATCATCTCAAATGACAAGTGTCGAGGGGACACCAGTTGGATGCTGATAGAGGCATATTTCATATTTATTCAGCAGAATTTTTACATTAGCACCTGAGCGCATAATTGTCTAATATATATGCACACTCACACTTTTATCTATTCACATAATTCACAATGAGCGCAATCAATACTGCCCTCTCCATACTCTGCTCTATGCTCATAAAGTGCGTCTGCATTAGATCATATAATAAGCCGTTCAGAAAACCCCAAAACAGACCGGCTAATTTCCTGGCGCTCACTGAAATTGCGAGCAAGAGTAACTCGCTAATCTTCCTGTTCGTCATTAAACCCGGATATTTACCTGAGCAGCCTGAGAGTCACGGGCCTGGTGAAAGAGCAACACATCTCTTTGGAGTCTCTGGATAGCCTCATCCCGCTGAGATAACTGAGGAGAAGCCGATCGGGTCAGGTTTTCTCCATTCCAAAGAATGGGTGAACAGAGGCGAGGACAGCAGAAAAGAGAGAGGAGTAAGGGGCAGACCGTAAGCTCAACACACGTGGGAAGTGGTGGAAATAGAACCGAAGTCGATCACTCGGGGGAACATGCACTTACATATAGTCTGGCGCCAATGTCGACCAATGAGCAATTAGGCAGACAAGACTAAAGTTATTGATCAGAGGTTCAGGCTCTTTTCTCAGGGCTAAGTAGCCTGCCTGAGGTTGTGTGAAGGCTGCTACAGCTGTGGACTGCAAGACAGGGAAAGGTAGTGCAAGAGGAAGTGGGAGGAAGGGCAGGGTAGGTCTTTCTCTCCCCAGGCCTTGAGCTCTTGAATTGGGCACAGGACATTATCATTTAGGCTGCTATTGATTGCCACAGGCTTAATAATATCAAGCTGTCACTCATAGAAGGAAAGGCACTTAGGAGAATGCAAACATCCAATCAAAGATATTATGGAAAACAAACAGTCTTGGCAAAGCATCAATGACACTGACAGTGTCAGTGAGTTTTTTGTTTCCAATTTAAAGGATAATGAGAGAGCTTAATGCCAGGGAACAAACTTGAAAAAATGAATTTGTGTAATACCTAAAATGTCAACAAGTTTAAATTAAGTTTAATTAGTAAAGGTCATGACAAGCAGCCTTCTATAGATTTAGCCTCAAATTGTAAACAGATATTATAATGCAGCAATTTGGCCACTTGGTAACACCACAAAACATAATGCTTTTGCAAAAGTACAAATTAGCTCACTCACAAACTGTTTCCTAACCACATTACACACAGCAACTCCGAAGTACTGCCCTTTTAATTAACAGCTATTGCACTTGTGATTTGCACAAAGAAATGTGCCTCTTTGATGTGCTGTGACCAACATGCTAGCTAACAAAGTAAATAACAGTTCTGAAGTTGCTAGAAAGCCAATTCTCACAGTTTGCTTTAATGCTAACCTAAGCTAAACACACAAGCCCATCTCTGTGCTAAATGAAGAAGATGATTCACATCTGACTCTAGTTAAGACAGAAAACATGCATATTTTCCAAAATAAAGTATATATATTTATCTATTTTAGTGTTCAGCTCAGCTGCACTCATCCAACTGTGCTAATATCACAGGACAAAATAGAGGAACATATTGCAGCTTAGTTCAACAACGCACTCACCTGGTTTGGCTTCTGTTCAGCTGTTTGGTGGTCTTCTTGTACTGGGGGTTTGGTTTGTCTAAGAATGAGAGCCAAGCCGAGCTTAACAACTGCTAGTTTAGCCAGCTGATAGCTAATAACAGCAATAACACATTTTTTCAGCAAATAAATTGGTTAGATTTCCCCTTCATTCTTCAAATCATAGCATGTATAGAGAGACATAGCCCACCAATTGTGAAAAACAGAGATCAGTCACATGTGGCTTGCATGACCAGAGTACTTTGGCCCCTTTAATTGATTATAATACAAGTGTTCATTGACAGCATTCTGAATGTGTATATGTCACGCTGGTCAAATGCCTTCCACGGTCTCTCTAATGAAAATAACTAAACATCATTTAACCTTTAACGGAGGTTTGGCAGTGCAAAGTAAAAAATAGATTTACAATTTCCTTCCTTGTTTCCTTTTTGAAACCACAGATAAGGGATTTATATAACTGGACTGGTCTGACAAAGGCTGGCCCATCTCCCTTTTAGGAATTTGATATTCACATGTTGTAAGATATATTTTTTTTGTCTAGCCCTACATCCTCCCCTGTCAAGGACATTATTTCAGTTCGAAATCATCAAACTCTGTGTTTTAAGAATTACCCTTTTAGGAGGTAAAAGAAAATAAAGTTGCTTTTACAAAATATATCTGGCCTTTGGTCACATTAAATGCCACATTTAGCTATCCGTTGTTATTTCTGCAGATAGACAAAATTAGTGTTTATTATGAGGAGGATGCAGAGAATGTTCTATGCATACAAGCCAAAAATTAGAAAATCAACAAACAACTATTACATGCAAAGGCAGTGCTTTCCCCTTTTGGGGTGGCTTTTGCCTTTATATGCAGTCCTTTCTCGTGTTTTGAAAATCAGTTCAGACATTTCAAAAGAGAGAGGCATGATAATGAAAGGGCACATAAAAAAACTCTCTCTGAGGTGATTGTTCATTCCTCACAGCTTCCACTGCCTCTGCATCAGAAGGACACCTTTAATATTTGGACTTTCCACGTCACTCTAGGCTAAATCCCTAGCAACCACCATAGCAACATACTCTGAGTTCAACGTGAAATGCATGGCAAGTTCCCTCCTGCCACCAGCAAAGAGGAAAAAATCTGAAGAAAACAGACAGATATGCTTGAAAGACCAAAATTAAGTGGAGCTGAGAAGACATAACGACACACCACAGAAATGCTCATACCAATAATCAAACGTGATTGTGTGTGTGTGACATATGGAAAACAAATCACAGTACAAACTATAAAATATAAGCCTGAAACCATTTTTATGTAATCCAGACAAAGAGCCTTGGCTCAGTGGGTATTCTGGCAGAGATACATAGCTAATACAGACTATTTTTTTAGGTTTGCTTGCTGTACTGACTCTTTAATGAGATAAGCATATTTTACCTGGGTAAATACATTCAAATATATGTATATAGTAAATAAATAAATATGAGTTGTAGGCAATTAGGCTCCACATGCCTTGATAAATAAAAAAAACCTTTGACATGGATGACAAACTATGTGGCATCATTTGTTGTCAACACCTCAGTAAACAAACTCAATAACCAAACCAACTAATATGCATTTATTTTATGCATTTGTAATTCTTTCACTAGAAAAATATCATATCAAATATATATGAGACTGCCCATACATCTTAATACATATCTGAAACATTTTACAAGCTAGAGCAGTGCTTTCTCTGCCACTATTCTCCTGCTGAAGACAAATAGATAGAGATAGAGATAGAAACAGTATCCCTACGAGGTCATCCAGGACAGTTGTCTGATGCAAGATGCATTTATGTCTGCAAGTATCATGAGTTCCTCAAGAA